TAAGCTGGAGGGTGGTGTGGGGTAGAGTTGGGAAGGAGTATACATAACCAATTAAGCATGTACCCACAAAATACCATATTTCTGCTACTGGGAGAAAGAGTTGGTATGCTAGAGCTTTCCACAGAATACAAACATTTGACTTAAGGAAGAGGAGGAATGTTCTTTTAAAAGCTGGATGAATTTCTAGCTGGTTGTCCTAGGACAATGGCAGTGTTCTTTTATTTATTTATTTTTTTTTATTTTTTATTTTTTTTCTGGTTACTTTTTTTTTTTAAATTTTTTATTGTTGGCTGTTCAAAACATTACATAGTTCTTGATATATCATATTTCACAATTTGATTCAAGTGGGTTATGAGCTCCCATTTTTACCCCATATACAGATTGCAGAATCACATCAGTTACACAGCCATTGATTTACATATTGCCATACTAGTGTCTGTTGTATTCTGCTGCCTTTCCTATCCTCTACTATCCCCCCTCCCCTCCCCTCCCCTGCCCTCCCCTCTTCTCTCTCTGCTCCCTCTACTGACATTCGTTTGTCCCCCTTATATTATTTTTCCCCTTCCCCTCACTTCCTCTTGTATGTACTTTTGTATAACCCTGAGGGTCTCCTTCCATTTCCATGCATTTTCCCTTCTCTCTCCCTTTCCCTCCCACCTCTCATCCCTGTTTAATGTTAATCTTCTTCTCATGCTCTTCGACCCTACTCTGTTCTTAGTTACTCTCCTTATATCAAAGAAGACATTTGGCATTTGTTTTTTAGGGATTGGCTAGCTTCACTTAGCATAATCTGCTCTAATGCCATCCATTTCCCTGTAAATTCTATGATTTTGTCATTTTTTAATGCAGAGTAATACTCCATTGTGTATAAATGATAAGATGATTTCTTTGTCCCAAATTTAGGACCATGCATTGATGGATAGCAAGAGGTGAGGCCTCCCCCTGCTGGACATGGTGGGGAAGGCAGGGGGTGAAGGAAGCCAGGAACTGAGAAACTGAGACCCCTCCCATGGTGTGCTGGGAGAAGAGATGGGCATAGAATGAGTGAGTCTACACTCGCCAGCCAATGGAGAATTCAGTAGGAATTCAGAGTCACAGCAGACTCAAAGTCTTCCTCTTCCCCCATGCCAGTCATTTTTTAGAAAGTTGGGGCACGTGCTCGATTTTCTGTTGTAATGGGTACCAGGGCCATTTGGGAAACGATGACCCCAAGAAGGCAGGGAGAATTGAGAATGTCTGAGATTCCTGTTGAAAGCACAGTGACAGTCCCTGTGTGCTTGGTACCTTCAGAAATTGCTACTGCAATGGCTAGACCTGAAGTGTTTTACTTTAGCAATTTTCATGGTGGGAGACACTTGATCTGAACTTTGCAACATGTATGAGATTTGGGTAGGATATGGCAGGTCTTTAGGATATGAAAAAGAATATACAAAAAATGTTTGGTTTTGACTTTTTAATTTTTTCATGCCTTTCTTTCTTAAAAACATTTTTCTTTTCTATTTATTTTGACATAATTGAAAAATCATTAAATATAATTTGCTCATATTCAGTCACCAGTATTTACCCTCTTCTCTCTTTCCCTGTTCTCTTCCCTCTACTCTACTGATCTTTCTGTTATTTACTTTTGGATTTTTTTTTTCTTTTTGATCAGTGTCTTGTGAATATACCTGATGGTGAGATTCACTGTGGTATATTCTTATATTTAAACAGGAAAGTTAGGTTAACTTCTCTGTTCTTCCCTTACCCCATCTCTTCCCCTTCAGTTCCCTTCATCTAGCCTACCTGTCTTCCTCCTTTTTGATAGAACCTTCCACCCACTTCCCTCTCTCTCTCTCTCTCTCTCTCTCTCTCTCTCTCTCTCTCTCTCTCTTTTCCTCCTTATTTTGGACTAGCTTCCATATATATGAGAGGAAACATTGGACTTTGGCTTTCTGAGTCTGGCTTTAAAAATATGGAATGATTTATGAATTTGCAGGTCCTCCTTGTCCAGGGGGCCATGCTCATCTTCTCTGTATCATTCCAACTTTAGTATTTGTGCTGCCAAAGTGAGCACTCTTCAGAAGATGTATAAGGAATTAGATGCTGTAAATAAGCTAGAGTTTCTTGTTGGTCTATGAATGCCTGTTGGGATAAAGGGCTTCTTTGGATATTGCTGGCTAGCTCCTCCTTCTGAAAATGGGGGAATTTCTGAGAGGTTATGGATCGTCCTTCCCCTCTGAACATCCCTGCTACTTCTTCCTTGGCTCCTCTTCTTAGCTTGAGGGTTGACCCACCTCTCTTCCAGGGAGCCTTCCCTTGTCTGGCTCCTCACTTACTTCATGAGCATCTCATCCATCCCAAGGTTGTGCCTCTTTTTTTTTTTTTTAATAGGTGAAGGATCTCAAGATGGCAGCTTAGCTCCCCACTGTTGGATGCCCATCTCTTCATGCACGTCCTGGACACTTTAAACTCAGGGTGTCCCAGACTGATGGGATGATTTCAATCATTAGGGTTTGACACTTTAGAGTGACAGGTTGGTCCTTTCCTTCCTCATCACCTGCACCTTGGTGCTATTCCCTTGCTTACACTCCACTCTGCATTTCAGGGAAAAGGCTCTCAGAGATACTACAATTCATCCCTATGTGTCTTTGCTTAGGTGACCAACATTTCCATCCCTCCACAAGATTTTATGTCTGATTGACACAAATCTTAAGGCCAGATGAAATGTTTCTTTCCATGAAGTTTTATCTGGTTCTGTTGCCCAGTATGTTACCTATTGCTGTGCCAGGTTTATCTGCATATTCTCATGTTCCGGAGCATTCTGTCTTTTCTATTGCTTTTCTTGATATCTGTGTTACATTCTTCCCTCAATGCTCTGAGCTCATTGTGAGCAGGATGTTTACCTGATTCATTCCCTTACACTTCTCAATGATATTTACATATTTGGGGTCAATAAATTAGTTTTGTGGTCACTAACATACTATGTGCATCCTAGTCACAAATTTGTCTATATCTCCAGCTGATGGAGAAATTTCTTGAGGTTGTGACTAAACATGATTTAACTTTGTGTCTGCTACATCAACTGAGCACTGTGCCTGGAGCAACCTAAATATACAATAAATGTTGAATTGAATGGTTGATGGGAACTCCACTAATGATTTAGTATTTATTACACCTTGAAGATGGGACATTAAATTTTTGCATAAAGCAGGTGAACCTATAAGGGATATTAAGAAGGGGTTTGGGACAGAAATCTAGGAGAACATGGTATCACAGAAAAGGGAAGAATTTATGTGGAGAGAGGACCAAATAAGGAGACAACTGTCTTAGCAGTTGGAGGTCTTTGGGGATCCATTTCTTTTGAGAAAGGAACAGAAGCCAGAGTGGAATGTATTGAGAAATGAATGAGAGCTATAGACATCTCTCATTGGTGATTTTAAGAGAAAAAATGATGATTTTGGGAGAAAAACAGTATTGATCATTTTGCCTACTGAAAGGAGGAAAGTAATAGGGAAGGCAAATAGATGTTGGAGTGGGATCCAGAGATATTTTTTCTTTTAAAATGGAAATATACAGCAGGGCATTGTGGTGCACACCTGTAATCCCAGCAGCTCAGAGGGCTGAGGCAGGAGGATCACAAGTTTCAGCCTCAGCAATTTAGCGAGGCACTAAGCAACTTAATAAGGTCCTGTCTCTAAATAAAATATAAAAAAAAAATCTGGGGATGTGGCTCAGTGATTGAGTGCTCCTGAGTTCAATGCCACTTCTCAAAAAAAAAAAAAAAAAATTAGGGAAGAAGACCTTCCTAAGAGAAAATATAAAAAGCTGAATAAGAGCTAATAAATTTATTTACACAATAATTATTTTTGCATGATAAAGGCATATGAAACATCAGGGAAGAGCATTTGTAACCTATGTAACAGATGTAATGCATAACTTGGATTATCATAAACTAAAGTGAAAAAACATATTTTTTACCTAGATGTTATTTGTTTCTCAGCCCTCCTTCCTGTCTGTAGCAGAAGATCTCACATTAAAGAACAAAAATACGAAAAAAAATCTCCTTAATGTAGTTTAGTTGTCCTTAAAAACCCAGATCACACTTTCTGTCTTCATCCTTCTCTGCTGCCCTTGAACTTTTGTATCAATTTCTGTTGGCCCACAATTCACTGTTTTGTAATTACACACTGCACATCTCTTCCAACGTGACCTTGAGTTTGTCAAGAGCAGGAGTGTTCTCAGTGCCCAACACATTCTTATCACCCACCATAGTTGCTGACTCTTGTTGATAAATAGTCACTTAAGTTCCTGGTGTGCTTCAGTGTTTGGAGTGTTAGTTGGGACATTTTCTGCAATTTTCTCACTTTGAGAAGGAACATTTTCAGCCCTTTGCAGGCTCTATTGGACCTCTGCTTAGTCAGATCCCACCTTCTCCAAGAATGACTATGCTGATTTCTAGCGTCATAGATTAGTTTTACCTATTTTAAAACCTCATGTAAAGTGAATCCTACAGCTCACATCCTCTGGTGTCTGACTTCTTTTTGCTCAGCATTATATTTGTGAGATTCAAATGTGTGTATCAGTTTATTCTTTTTCATTGCTGTGTAGTATTTTATTGTATGAATAGTGATTATAGTTTTAATAATAAACTATTTTTTTTTTTGCTTTTTAGACAAATGGCCTTTCCTAAATCTATAATATTATTTAGCCAAAATATGTTTGGCTTTGTAATATTCTTCCTATCCTGTATAGATTTCTGAAACATAAGGAATAGTCAGATGCATACTTTTCTTTTTTCTATAAAGCATGACTTTAAAATTTTGAAAATAAACATCAATTTAGTTTCCTTCTGTAGAGTTGGGCAAGACGTTGAGTTTCTAGGCTTTCGTTCTGTAGGGCCACCCTGAATATTAACTGGGACAGTGGGAGTCACAGGGGGGTGGCCTCCTTGGGTGGAAACCTCCCTTTCCTGACAGCTCTGTTTGATGTCTCCCCATCTCTCCCACGTGGACGATTTCCAGTGAGATGAGTCAGAAAATGGGTAAGGAGGGTCCCAGACTCTCCAAGAACCAGAAGTTCTCCGAGCACTTCAGCATCCACTGCTGCCCGCCCTTCACCTTCCTCAACTCCAAGCGGGAGATCGTGGATCGGAAATACAGCCTCTGCAAGAGCGGCTGCTTCTACCAGAAGAAAGAGGAGGACTGGATCTGCTGCGCCTGCCAGAAGACCAGGTGAGTGAGTGGCCCCGCTGCCCCTGGCGCCGGCGCTGGGCACCCGCCTGTCGTCTCTGGGCTCCGAGCGCGCCCTGCCTCCTCGCTCCGTGATGCCGGGGTTGGGGCTCCGCGAACCGCTCTCGGGGATCCTGACAGTTAGCTCCCTGCTAGGTCCGGACACTGGAAGGCACTCGAGGGCGATCGGAAGGTGGGAGGGGGAGCAGGGCCTTCCCCCCTGTTTCCAGCTCCCGTCAGCAGCCCTTAAGCAGCAGAGGAGAGCCTTGGCTGCAGCCTCCAGCCTCCAGCCTCCAGCTTCTTTTGGCCCTCTCAGACCCAGCCGTCGTGCCACGTCCCCTCAGAGGCCCAAGCCACAGCCAGCGGCGCCCCCCGCGGTGGTCAGAGCACCAGCCAAGCCACGGTCCCCTCCGAGGTCCGAGCGTCCGCCGCGTCCCCGCCCAGAGGTCCGACCACCTCCAGCCAAGCAGCGTCCCCCTCAGAAGGCCAAGCAACCACCACGCAGCAGCCCCCTCAGAGGGCCAGGCGCCAGCCGCGGGGGGTCTCCCATCAAAGCTTCTAGGTTCTGGTAACACCATCTCTTCCCTTTTGTTTCCCCCAGCCCTAAGGTTAGTAGCTGTTGCCTGTCCTTATAGACCAGGGGGCTCTCTGGATGGCCCCCTCTCAGCCTTACCCAACGTGTGTAACCAATGCCCTGCGTTAAATCCCCTCTGTTGGCAAAACCTGGTGTGGCTTCTGCTTTCCTCCTAGACACTCACTGTTGGTCCGTATTTCACGTGGCTGGGTCCTTTGTCTAGTAGAACTGGAAATCATGAAGTGACCAATTAAGGTTACTGACCACAGTAACAGACTGAATAAATGATTACCTCCAGGCTTATGCCTCAGAGAGGAGGAAGGGTGACTATTGGAATATCTGTGTTTGTGTAAAAGGAGAAATTCAGTGGGATCCTTCTCCCATCCTGATCAGGGGTCAATCTCAGTGGCAATGCTACTCATTAGTTCATCTGTTTAGTCATAGGAGCAAACTTTACTGCATACCCATAGGATTTTACGCTCTGTAGTAGGGAAGAGAATATGGAGGTGAATAAGCAAGGGAATCTGTGATTCACCAGGACCAAGTAAGAGAATAATTAGTCAGGTATAGAGTGTAAGTGCTCTAGTATTTCCATAATAAGAGTGTATATTGGACCTTGAGGTCCTTTGAGTAGGGAGTATTGGCACAGGAATTTGGGGGATCCAAGGAGGAAATTAGGTTAGGGTGAATGAATAGAGGGTTAGAAGAAGGTGATTCATTGGGCTGGGCATGTGACTCAAGCGGTAGCGCACTCGCCTGGCATGCGTGTGGCCCAGGTTCGATCCTCAGCACCACATACAAACAAAGATGTTGTGTCTGCCGAAAAAAGCTAAAAAATAAATATTAAAAAATTTTCTCTCTCTCTTAAAAAAAAAAAAAAGAAGAAGAAGAAGAAGGTGATTCATATAGAGGAACAAGAGATCCAGAGGGGTGCATGTCCATTGCTCTTAGGAGGTTGGCTTTTTCCTTTTTTAAAAAATAGATGTTAATTTTTTGGAATAGTTTTAGGTTTATAATAAAATTGAGGGAAGACACAAAGATTTTCCCTGGATCCCCCTGAGCTTACTTTCACATGGCCCGCCAACTTTTTAGTCCTTTTATAATTTTGGAAAGTTAATCTGTTTTATAAGATGGTAGTGGGTGTTAATTGTATTTGATATTCTCTTATCAACTCTGATACCTGGCACCTGTATAGCCCGTGGCTGGGTGCAGATGTTACATGATGTTTACTAATTTAGTAAGAAGAAGAATCCATGGGGAAGCATGTTCACTGGATTACCAGTGAAGCTGGGGAATCTGCATTTTCAACGAACAGCCTTTCCTACAACTGTAGTGATAAAGAACAAAGAGTACATAATGAATCACCCTGACCTAAATCATCTATAAATTAATGATCCAGATTATCTGTGATATGTAGTAAAAGATGTGAGAAGTACCAAATTTATGGTATCCAAAGTGAAAGCATTACAAAGATGCAGGATCAGGTGAGTTTAATTTGCAAAGCAAATAACAGGCTAGTCACTAAAACTTCAGTAGCAAGTTGTATTCAGGATACCCAGTCATTCACTTGGTCCCTCCAAGGGGCTGGAGTAAAAGGTAGCAAGGCCAGGTAAGTTTTAATATGCAGAATTGGTTAGGAAAGGTGGGGAGCAGAAGAAATTAATTTTCTAAGAGGTATGTCAGCTGCAGTAAGTTCAGTGCTGGCTCTTTGCTGGAGAGGGCTTGGAGAGGAATGTTAAGACAATGAAAGCAAAACTAGCCATGCATTTGTCTGGATCCAGCTTTGCTCATTGTGTTCACCTGAATTCAAGACATCCTGGTGTTGGTGGGTCTTGACTCCCTTGGTTAACTTGTCTTAGTGAGTGTCAGAGAAGGTGCCTCCACAGACTACCATTGCCTTCTCAGCCATGGCCCTGTACCTGGGGACAGAGGACCCCAAAAGCTACCTTCATAATGTCTCATAACTTTGCTTGTGTGCTATCTGAACCCTACCTGAGAGACTTATTTTCTTTTCTTAGCATCTCAAAGGTCCTAAGGTAATGTATTAAATATGTTTCATTGCCATATAATATATTTCCTTTATTGATACCAGTTGACTATTGCAAATCAAAGGAGTAGGAGGTGGGTTAATGGGAAAAATTCACTCGTAAGCAGAGCTACTAAGGCATGCTTTAAAAAAGGATAGAAAAAGCTTCTCTGAAGCAGACTTGCCTTCTGAAACGGTCCCACCCAGGAGGCTTTGCCTTGAGAGGTTAGGCAATTCTGACAGAGGACTTTTGGGTTTGTAATAACTCCCTTGAATAGGTCTTCTCAAAAACCAGAGCATAATTTAATCTTAGAAACCAATTGGAATGATTCCTAGAATCCTGACTGAATACAGTAGTGTTCCTGAATTTGATAAGAGGAAACTCTGGAATTTCCCATTTAGTTTATCTTGCTTTCTCAGTTTTTGGAAAAGATTTTAGTACTTCACAAGTTTTCCCTTGCTTTTAATGTTCATGCATTTTCTGGGCTGAATTTCTTTTGGTTCCTCAGTGTTCTGCTTTGGGTAGCTGGAGATCTGTGGTTCTTTGAAAACCACCATGGTCATCATTTGGAGCCCATCAATCACACACATGGGGGCAGTGCTGTGTGCCTTTGACTCATTGTTTGACAACATGTCTTATATTGCACCAAACCAAGCCCTGCACCTTAGTAGCCTGGAAGACCAATGTATTCTGCATGTATTTATCAAGCCTTTTTGTCAAAACCATGTGAACAGGACTGTACTAAGCTCTAAAAATAAAGGGAAATGAAGTAGGCCCTGGGTTGAGCTGCTCAAATGATATTTATGAGTGGTCTATCCCTCAGTGATGCTGCTGTTAACTCCAAGGGCAGCCCTTGGTCACCTCTAACCTCAGCCCACATCCAGTGATTCTATCTCCTAGATCTCTCTCCTTTAGTCATTTATTTATTTCTTCATCTCACTTTATCAGATAATAAGATCAAAACCTAGGAAAGATAATGGTTAGAGGAAAAGTTAAGTAGATTTAAGTTCTCCATGGGATTTATTCTCTAGGAAACAGAGAATGCTGTATGTAGTCTTGAGTCTCAAAATTGAAGCAAGCCCCAGTTTGGTGGTTGGTTGACTACTCACTATCTTGGGCCAGGCACGGAAACACAGTGCTTCTAAAGTTTAGTAAAGCACCGCTAGCTGGATAATCCATGATAGTTCCATTAGCAATGGGGTAGAAACTACTGTACTTTCTTTTTGCAACTATGGAAGGAGAGATTCATATTTTTATGTTATTTTGAGTTTGGAATTATCAAGACTTACAAAGAATAGTACAGTTATAAGTGGTTCTTTAATTGTCAATTATAATTGAAGACTAGAATTTGCTTTGGAATAAGGATGACTAATAATCAGTTACTATTGGGGTTCTGAGAGTGCATGACAGTACCAGCCATCGGATCCAGCTACAAAGGTCCAGACTATTGGGTAGAGATTGCCTTCCTGTCTTTCAGGCATGCAAACTCCAACTTTCTCTGGACACCTTCTATAACATAATTTGTCTTCTTTTGTCTTTTCTGATGCTGAAGAGGTTGACTCTGCAATTTCTTTGTCTTCCAGAGAACCAGAGAACACTCTCCCTTTCTTTGTGCAGGATTGTGTAAACTAGCTCTTCCAGTTCTTTTTCTGGATCCTGCCTCTGTTTCCCTGAGAGAAAATCATGAACTCTGTAGTCATGTCTTGGAAAGAATTTTCTTCTTACATGTTTGAAGGAAAACTGGAATGTGTTATACCTAATTTCATCCTAGTGATTATGTCTTGGCATTCTATTTTTAAATTCTTGAGCCAAAAACAAGATCAGAAATTCATCTATTTTTTTCCCTAGATACTTGCAGAGCTAGGGAAAGGACCTGAGCTTTTGCTTTGTTGAGGTTCTTGCCCTACCTGCCTCCCAAGGTTGCATTATTGTTTTTATGAGTTTGAGTGACTTAACTCTTGGATTTGCTCCACCTGCGCCACATAGTCTTCCCATAGAGAGCAGGCCTATGTGCATCCTGTGGTCCTGGTAGCACAGAGCCTATGCAGAGCAGGAGCTGGTACCAAAACCTGGGCAAGGATATGTGTGGTTCCTCAGTGTGACAGTCCCTGCCTGGTGATATATCCTTAGCTGATCTGAGCCACATGGGTAGCCATCCCCTCTCTAATAGCCTTAACTCTGTTGACCTCCACCTCCCATAACACTTGCACGTCCCCAGTTCTAGATTAGGCTCATGACCTGCCTATACTGCTCTGGTTTCACAGCTGTTGAGCACAGTCATGTATGCACAGAGCTGCTGAGCACAGTTGACAAGAGCTTTATAGCTCCAAGGGCTGGTGTCACTACAGATGGCACCAACCCCTAGACCAGCCTGCATCCACCAGCCCCACGTGTGTATCAGGCCACGTGTCTGCCTTCAGATCCTTCCTCTCGGCCTCAGAGGATGAAGCGTTGGTTCCTCCTCCCCAATGCACACACCTGTGATCTTCCTCCCTTGGCTTGTGTCTTCTTGGTCTCACTGCTGCACAATTTATCTACCTTCCCACTCACTTCAGCCTTTTATTAATCTTTCTTTTTAACTTTTAACACATTTAGCTGTCTCCTGGAGGCTGAGTTTCCTTCTGGCTCTGTCTCATCTTTTTTCTTCCCTTCTCTGACCAATTTAAAAAAGAACAATGTAAACTTATCATCTTTACTTCCTCAAATTCCCTTTATATTTCAGTTGATGGTGCTCTGATTTCTTCCCATAGCCCCAAACAGGAATTTCTTTTGTGCAGATTTCCTCCAGAAATGTCAATGCGAGGGCAAGCAGTTTATTTGGGAGATGAAGCAAAGACTGGGGAACAGAAGGAAATGGGACAAAAAAATGAGGCATCCAATTAAAAAAATATGCTTTATACAACTGGCTTCTGCTGTGGGAAGTAGAGTAACTTTTAATAAGCCTGTAGATAATCTACCAAAGACACTTATCTAGTGAAGTGTTTCCTCAAATATATTGCATATTTTAAAAATTGGGTCATTGTCTTCTAATTATTTTGTTTTGAGATGTTTACAAATATTCTGGATACAAGCATTTTATTAAAAAATTCTTTTGAATATTTTCTCCAAGTTTGTGACTTTCATTTCATTTTGAGAAGAACTGAAAATTTAAGTTTTGACAAAGCCAAACTTATCAAGTTCTTTTATGGGTCAGTTTTTGTGTTGTGTGTAAAAGATCTTTTCCCAGCACAAGCTCACATTTTTATCCTGTTTTGTTCTAGAAATTTAAAAATTTAGGTTTTACATTTACATTATTATCCATTTGGAGTTAGTTATTTTGTAAAGGGACTGAGGTATGGTTGAAGTGTAAATTTTTAATATATGTTTATCCAGTTGTTCCAGCATTATTTGTTGAAATTACCTTTGCAGTTTTACCAAAATCAGCTGATCTCACATGTTTTGGTTTATTCCTAGATTTCCTATTCTACTTTATTAATTTATGTATCTTTCCTTTCACCAATATACCACTTCATTACTGTAGCTTACTAGTAAGTATTGAAATAAGTTAGTGTGAATCTCCAACATTTTTCTTAATTTTTAAAAATGTTTTGGCTGTTCTTTACTTATCCATATGAATTTTCACCATGTCAAATTCTACAAATATATCCTGGAAAGATTTTGAAAAGGGTTTTGTTGAGTTAGTAGATCAACTTGGGGACAACTGTAGCAATACTGAGACTTTTGACCCATGAACATGGTATACTTCTCCATTTATTTAGGTATTTTTGTTTTTATAATATTTAGCATATAAACCTTGCATGTATTTTATTTGTTTTAAAACCATTTTATGCTTTTTGGTGCTATTACAATAGTACTATTTCTATGTCAATTTCCAATTTATAGTATATAAAACATAATTTACTTTGTTATATTGATCTTGTATCCTGTAATATTGCTAAACTCACTTATTCCAGCTTTTTGTTTTTGTAGAATCTGGAGTTATCTATAGTGATAATCATGTTGTCTTTGAATAGATGCAGCTTTGTATTTTCCTTTTCAATCTGTATGCCTATGTTTTCTATATGTTTTAAGCTGCTGTTTTGGTTAAAATATTTGCAATTTAGAGAAATAGTTTGACAAGATTAAATTCTTGCTAATTTGACTTTGTGAATCATTAAAAGGGATTAAACCTGAGCCTAACCAGATTAAGATGCTTGGGTTGAATTATCAGTTCATTCCTGTGCTTTCTTCAAAACCTCATTTAAGGATATGGCTCAACTTTCCTATGTGCCATTGATTGATATTTTCTATCATCAAACTAGAGAATAGGCACCAACATGCTTTGGGTTTACAGAATCATAGAGGTTTTTATTACTATTAGAATGACTATGGCAGTATTTGTCTAGGATCATCAGGTACTGATGTCATCTTGATGCTTATGACAGATAGTTACCAAAACTCTAAATACATGATGGATTCAATTCCAATTCATTTTTTAGGGCTAGTCACTTATTGGAAGAAGCTAATGCCTTGAACAGCAGTCACATAATAATCATCCACATATGGATTAAACAATTGTGACACTTTCTTCCCTAATTCTACATGGGCCTGAGTTGTTTCTTTTGTTTTGCTACATGGACAGTCTCGGAAATTTAGCCTTTCAAAGCTATGATATTTATTTATTTATGATACAATAAAGTTAGGACATTTTATATAGATGTTAGCTTTTATATAATAGTGAACTGTTTTTTTCCTATTTGGTGTTGGTCAGTGGGAATGGTGCATGGAGTATTTTGTGGAGGCAGAGAACTCCTTCTTTGTATTTAGAGAATTGTAATTATTGTCAGTAATAAGGAGCCCTGAGATAATGACCCTTTGACTTAAGAGGCTTCACGCTCCTTGCTAAGTAGATAGGTGCCCTATTCCTGTGCTCTCTTAAAGCTTCTACCCTTGTTCACCAGTCCATTTACTGTGCATATCTTTGCAGGAGAGCACATGAATCAGGATCAGGGAATCTTACATTCATATCTCTAGGGCCTGACTCAGGGCTTGGCTGATGTTATCAACTGAATGAGGCCTATAAATTTACCTAGCAATAAGTCTGGAACAGTGGAAAGGGCAAAGTCTCTGGCATCAGGTTTAAGGCTAAGCTTTGCTGCCTGTGAATTCCTTTTGTTCAGGTTTCTTTTTCAAAGTCCTATCTTTTTTTTTAATCTGTAAGATAAAGATATTATCTACCCTATTAGTATTATTAAATACTTAGCTCATTATTTTGCTGTACTCAGTAAGTGTATACTATTAGAACTGTTATTTAATGAATATCTTGTCATCTTGTCATTGAATCCTAACTACTAGCAGATCCTCTCCAACTCAGTCTCCTCCCCTGGTTGATTTGGAGTTTAGGGGATATTGCTGAATAATTTGGCCAGCCCATTGCCATCAGGGTGGCTGCCAATGCCAGTGAAGTGCCAAGTAGATAATTAGATGCTCATATTATCAAAGATGCCACAGTGACTGATTGCAGTGATACCTGTGGGTGTTCATGCTAATCTCAGCATCTGAGTTTTATATTCAGCAGTATCTATGGCAAATACTAGTATATGTAGGTTGCTCCATGTTTAAAGGTCATAGAGGCAACCCAGAAGGTACTATTGTTTATACTTGAATATAATTTTATTTCTCTCTCTCCCTTCTCTCTCTATATATTTGTTGAACCAAAGTTCTCTATCACTGGATTACATCCCCAGCCCTTTTTATTTATTTTTATTATTTTATACTGGGGATTGAACCCAGGGATGCTTAACCACTGAGCAACATCCCTAGCCATTTTTTACTTTTTATTTTGAGACAGGGTCTTGCTAAGTTGCTCAGGATCTTGCTAAATTGCTGAGGTTGGTTTTGAATTTGTGATCCTCCTGCCTCAACCTCATGAGCCACTGGGATTACAGGCACCTGTCACTGTGCCTAGCTTATTTTTTATTTTGAGACAGGGTCTTGCTAAGTTTCCCAGGCTGGCCTCAGATTTGCTCTCCTTCTGTCTCATCCTCTCATGTAGCTGGGATTACAGGTGTGTGCCGCCACTCCCAGCTCATTTTATTTCTAATTTTAAAAGCCTCCCAAATTATAAGAAAAGCCATACAAATTTGGTTCTAGAATAAAAGTGTGCTACATTTCTAATGCATGGTCCTTGTTGTTTGTTTCTTTGATTCTTTTAATCAAGAACTTTGAGGATGCTCTGAAGGTATTCAAATGACATTAGTTTCAAAGACAGTCACAAAGTGTTCTGCTCTCTAATAAACTGAGGGAGACGTCATATGACACTTTAGTTAGAAAGAATGTGAGCAATCCTTTTCTGGGGCTACATATTTATAATGAATTTGTTGGATGTTATTTATCTCTTTCCTAAACACAATGTAGTCTGTTCCCCATCAAGTTAGGAATTTGTGAACATGACCACAATTTCATAATGTGAGTGCATATATTCTGTGTCAATTCTTTATGTCAATGGGTAGGAGAACATTTTTCTAGGCTTGGGATGCACTTGAATTCCATTTGTGTATTTTTATGTTTTAAAATTATCTGCAACAAGTAACCAGAAAAGCAACAATTGCTATTATATGCAAATAGGAGAATTTTTTTTTGTACTGGGGATTGAACCCAGAGATGCTCTTCTATTGAGCTACATACCCAATCTTTTTATTTTATTTTATTTTATTTTTTGAGACAGGATCTCACTAAGTTGCCAAGCCTGGCCTCAAACTTGTGATTCTCCTGCCTACATCTCCCATCTCTCATCACTGGGATTAGAGGCATGAGCCACTCCACCTAGAAAATAGGAGAATTTTTTAAACAATATTTTTCCCAGGCTCAGTCCAGGAAAAAAAAAATCATATTAATTTAGACCACAGACAGAATTGATAACTAAAGAGGGGGAGTAAAAGACTGGATTTCTTAGAAGAAAAAGACTACTCAAAAGTAGTTTACAAATAAATAATTATAATAACTGAGTGTGGTAGTGGAGGTGGGAGTAGAGAGAAAGAGAGAGAGAGAGAGAGAGAGAGAGAGAGAGAGAGAACCTCACTTACCAATGTTATGAATTTCTCTTTTTCTCTTTGTAAAATAGATTGAGAAGAAGAACCAAGCCAACTCCAAGAAAGAAGTGATAAAGGAGTTTCAAGTGAATGGATGGCCTCAGCGGGACTCACTGCTTTGCAACCCATCTGCCCTTGGACCAATTATCTGGCTTTGAATATGATGCAGGGGCAGACACCTGCTCATATAGCAACTGCCATTGCCCCAAATTCCCATGATATGGGAGTTTCAGGGCAGCCTGCCTGGAGGTGAGAAGGGGCATCTCTGTGTATTCTGCCCCCATTTTAGTGGGTCCCAGCAGCTCCTTGGATTCCAGAACTCAGTTGGTTTCACCTTCAGTCCTTTCCTCCCCATGATGCCTTAGGTCTCCAGGATCTTTGAGTAAGCATGGCTCATGTGCCAGCCTACATATTACCCTCCAAACCTCTATTCTCCCCATCCCTGGTATCTTGTTGCTGAGCCTGACTTTGAGCCTTGACCTTCTTTGTAATGAATTCTTCATCTGGATTCCTCTCTTCCCCTGTGCCATCTGTTTCCCATTTGAACACCTTAACCAGTTCCCTGCACGGAGAGGCACAATTGACTCTGGGGAAGATGTGAGTTATTTTCTGAGTAAGATATCAGGCTTTCATATAATTCAGAAATGCAAAGAAATCCTGACAGGTTAGGAGTTATCAGATATAGCTAGCATGCTGTGTCAGAAGCAGAGAGAAAAGGCATGAGTGAGTACCCACTCTCCCCCAGACCTGTCTCCAACCTCATGCAGGGCTAGTGAACACTTTGTGGTCCCAGTTTAAATGAGAACAAACACTCTAAAATATTGTTTTAAAAATTTTCCTATTTTCTGGGTGCCATGGCTCATGCCTGTAACCCCAGTGCTGGGAGATGGGAGACGTAGGCAGAGTGTTTGAGCTTTGTCTGGCCCAGCTGGACATTTTCAACTGAGAATCAACTGTGGCCTTGGGCATTACTTGGTTTAAACCATGTTGTCTTATTGCCATCCTCTCCTGCTGCCCACCTGTCCCTCCTAACTTCAGGACATAGACATATGGCCCCAGGGCACTTTCGTGGGACTAGAATGAGTGCTCAGAGGGTTCTACTTCCATATGATAATCCCCCATTTCCTAGAGAGAGCTGGGCCTGGTGCCTCAGTGCCTTCCCTGCCTGGCCCCTTGTCTGTCTCATTGTGTGGTGGGATTAAGAAAAATAGAGGAGTTTAGCTTGGATGGAGAGGAGAGATAGGTGAGGGTGGGATGTGGGTAGTTAGGGGAGGTTAAGCCGTCCAAGTCTTCCCTTGCTGTGTAGGAGGCCACTCCATGGTGTGTGTGTAGCGGGGGGGATGCTGAACTCAATTGTAGTGGTCAGGGCTGGGGGTTGACTTCCCATCTCTTCATTCTGTTTTGCTCCCACTGTCTGCAGCCCCAAAATCTTGGGAAGGACTTTGATCTCAAGTATGAGCTCCTGATCAGGGTCTTAAGAACTAACCCTCACTCCCACTCCACCTGGTCCCTACATATCCCCTACACACAAACACTTGCTGTGGGAAGAGAGATTGTCCCTGAGTCAAATGGAAGGCCCTCAGATCAGCTTTGTGCTCCTGTGGACTAGGGTGTGTGTGTGTGTGTGTGTGTGTGTGTGTGTTAGCTTTGGGAAAATATCGTGTGAGAATTTAGCTTTGGGAGAATATCTTTGGGTTCTCATTTTCTTTCCCTTCCTTACCCATGTCACCCTGAGGAACCTGACCACTGAAGCTCATTGAAAAAAGACCACACTAACACTCCTCCTTCAGGGATCTGGCCTGGATTTAGGGTTCTAATGTATCCAAAGCCTAAGAGGCCCTGGTCTCTTGGGCCACTCTCTCTACTCAGTCCATAGTTGCAGGAAGAGGGGGGTGGAAAGAGAGGGGTTGGATTAGATGCATCTCTATTCAGGCTCCATCTGGGTCAGCTCTAGAAGCAATTTCAGCTTGTTTTTTTTTTTTTAAATTTTTTATTGTGGGTTGTTCAAAACATTACAAATTTCTTGACATATCATATTCCACACTTTGATTCAAGTGGGTTATGAACTCCCACCTTCACCCCATACACAGATTGCAGATTCACATCAGTTACACATCCATTGATTTACAAATTGCCATACTAGTGTCTGTTGTGCTCTGCTGCCTTTCCCATCCTCCACCCTCCCCCCTCCCCACCTCTCCCCTCCCCTCCCCTCCTCTCTCTCTACCCCCTCCACTGTATAACCCTGAGGGTCTCCTTCCATTACCGTGCAATTTCCCTTCTCTCTCCCTTTCCCTCCCACCTCTCATCCCTGTTTAATGTTAATCTTCTTCTCCTGCTCTCTTCTTCTCCTGCTCTTCGTCCCTACTCTGTTCTTAGTTACTCTCCTTATATCAAAGAAGACATTTGGCAGTTTTTAAGGCCAAATTTAGATGATTTGTTTATTGGATCCCAAAGATGGGACAGAAGGGTGAAAAATGCCAGCAGCAGAGTCATTCCCCTACTCCTTCCCAATCTCTCCATCATTTCTTTTCTACTTAGGAGGCCATTGGAAGGTCAGGGAGGCCATACCTTAGCCCACTGGGTACAAGGATCATTGTTCTACGAGGAGCGGTTCATCCTGCTTATGATTCAGAGGCCTTGTACTTTCCTTCCCAGCATGACCATGTTTTCTTTTTGTTCTCTCCTCTTGTGCATGTGAACAATTTGTGGTCCTGTATACCTGGTGTTTGGCCTATTCCAGGGCTGTGTTCTTGCTCTTCATTCTGGCTCTGATTCTGTGGCCCACAGTCTTTGTCCAGGTGCATCCAGCTCAAACATCATCTCGGAGATGCTTCCCTTAAAAACACAGTGCCATTTCTGTAGTTATTCTATCACTCCAAGATTTGTCCACTTTTTTCTTAGTCTCTACCACTGTGTCTTGTTCATCTGTTTACTTGTTTAGTGCTGGACTCCTTTCCCTTTTCTAATGTAAACCACAGGATCATCAGCATCGACTTAACTGCTACATCCTAAGTTTCTGGCATTAGTAAGAATTCAAAATAAAACTTGTTAACTGAATGGATGTTTGATTGTTGTTGTTTTTTTAAATAGGAATAACTTTTCAATAGTCTATTTTTTTTTTTTTGAGAAGTCAAAGGCATCTATTGTATTTAACAAGGAACCTGTAGGGCTCTCTGTGTGGAGTGAATGGAAGGTAGGGAAGAGAATTCATGAATGGAGATGCAGTTCCCTCAACCTTGCTTGACCATGAGAGGGTGTGGCAGAATAAGTCAATGGCTTGAGTGCTGACCGAGGAGACACTTGTGCATGTTGCAATGCTACTGGGAAGGAAGCAGCAGAGTGGGTGTGTGAAGAAAGAGGAGAATATAGTTGAAGGAAGTAATAACCTAAGAGATTTGAAGTAAGAATTGGGGGTACAGATGAGGGGAATGGATACAGAACAGGGGGAACTTTTCACTGGAAAAGGGGGAAGGAAGGTATAAATTCTGGTGGTTTTGCAGGGTCAATGGTAGGAGTTTGGAGTGGTTCCTGCCTGTGGCTTTGATTTTTCTCTATAAAGTAGGAGATGAGGTAGCCTTCTCGCAATGGTGGTGATGGTAGTGTTGGGAGCCAAAGATTTGAGAACAGAGGAAAGAATTATAGAGAAATCATTTCAACCCACATCTTTGAAATCTTCTAGAATAATTCTTTTCCTGGATGAATTTTAATTTCTTTTTATTTATTAATTTAAAATTCAAGCCAATATTTTGTCACTCTATACTTGCCCACAACTTCATATTTAGACCTAAGTGATAGATCTAAACTTGGGACCAACATGGTTTCTCATGAAAGATAAAAGAGAGAAATAAAGTCACAGTTTAATCTTCCCAAGGAATAAATATTCATGGGGAAAATTTGACTATGGGAATTTATAAAAATTTTACCAGATTATATAGTCAAAGATAATAATTTATTTGGGATGCAGTTCTAACACCAGAGGGATATGGAAGCTCAGGGCTGGAAGGGTCCTGGGAGGGCTTCCTGCTTGACTCCATAGCTGATGTCCCAGTCCTGCTAACACCATTAACAGGTACTTACTGCCTGCTTAAGTAGAATATAGTGAATGAATAAAGACAGTAGTGACTCAACTCAATAGGTTGTATAATTATTATTTGGATAGATTTTTTATATTCTTCTTATGTGTGAAATAAGTACACACTTGCCTGAATTGTTGCTTAAGGGTAGTGATAATAACGATTTTTAAAATCAAGTATCAACTATGTATCATCTTATACCATATAAGTATCATATAAGTATCATATAAGTATCATATAAGTATCATATAAGTATCATCTTATACCATAGGGTATTTTGCACTTGTAAATTGGAGAGGTAGTTACAGCCCCCAGGGTGATTGAAACCATGACCTTGATCTTACTTCCATCATGTTGCAAATTATAAGCTTCTAAACCAAGCTTGATGGAGCCCTGAGATACTTGGAAATGCCATTTTATGAGGGAGGTGTAGACAACCTAGGTCACTCCTCTTTATCAAACAAAGTGTATTTTAGTATCCATGTTGACTTTTGATTTTACATAGATAAAGGATCCCACTGGAGTAAAAGAATCTGACAATATACACCTTCATAGCTGAAAGCAAATACTGATATCATCCTTCTTAAAGTCATTTTCTAAATAATTTTCTGAATTGAAGAGTTTAATGCTTGGTATTACATCATAGGTTTGGGTTTAGTAGACCGGTATTTCAGTGACTACTTATATCCTCTTAGGGAACAATCCACCTATTGCCATTTTGGTGATTTGACTTTGGTCAACTAGCTAGGTTTATCCAAAGTACAGGTGTGCAAAAGAGCATAGATTAGCAAATACTGATGATAATTATTCCTATAACTTTAAAACAAATTTATGCAAAAGATTATATTCAACATGGCACTAAAAATCCGTTCCAGTTGCATAAGCTACATTAACTATACAAACTAAATTAAAAACAAACAAAATAGGGCTAAGGAAAGTAGAGAAAAGGGTGGGGGCTATAGCTTGAGTAGTGGCTTTACTTCACAGTAAATCAAATATCTATCGGATTTGAATCATTTGGCTCAAAATTTTTCTTAAAATTAAATTCTAAAACAATGTTAAGTCTAATTACCAAAGTAACATTTTGATTGGATTTTTTCCATATATCCTTGTGATTTTATTTTTTTAACTTTAAAAAAAAATTTCTTACATGACAATAGTGGAATGCATTAACATAATTATCCATTCACAACACCATTGATGGATTTTGAAGCACATGAACTGTCCCAAGAGTTCAAGAGTCCATTCATAATCTGAGACTGGAAGCCTCTGGAGTAAGTGGCAGTGGCTGGAGAGGCTGGTGGGATCCTCTCTAGAATACAAAAGCTATAAGGATTTCGCAGAAAAAAAGAAAGGTAGATATTCCTAATTAATTAAACATCTAGAAAAGAGGTACGCTCTTATGGTAAGAGGGTCAGAATTTCAAAGTCCCTTCAGCAGGTTCGTTTGTCTTGTGAAGTGATATAAAATCACAAGGAAGAAAAATTGGGAAAGTGTCTTGAGTCCATGTTTGAGAAGGTGGCTGCAGGCGGCAGAATTCCGTTCTGTATGAGTTCATGACAGGCATTCCTGATAAAGATGGGAAATTATTTGCATCAACATTAACCAAACCTTCCCTTAATGCAGAAAGAGCTTATTAGGCCACTCATTACTAACCAAGTCATACCCGGGTCAATATAGAGACAGACATTTTATGACATATTAAAAATATTTCCTTAGCCCAGGTGGTGGACCAAGTACAACCCAGATTGAGCTTTAAGCAAATATATTTGATAAAGTGGAGATAGCTTATTGTGTCCATCATCAAGACGGTGGGGTATCCTATCATCTAAAGGGCATAGGACTGAATAGACATTCTGGAAATTTTTTATTCATCAAATCACATTTGTATAAAAATCAGGGGTTAGCTTTCCCAACAACTCGTATGTCCATTTCTTTCCAGATGGAAGCCCATTCACAACTAAACAGGAGTAGGCATGGGTGTGTCTTCCACAACAAGATCAAGATAAATGCCATCATGAGGGACAGAGCATCTCAACTTCACATGGAGTGTCCCAGGGAGCTAGCCTGCCTTCCAGCTCCTCTGATTGGTTGGGAGTTGTTTATAGAGTTTCCTGGATTTGGCTTTATTTCTCTGGTTCCTGAAGCACATCAATCTTTGGGTTTACTATCTCCAACTTCTGCCTCAGGTAGAACAGCCTCTGTCTTCGCTCCAGAAAGAAATCTTGTTGCATTAAGAAGAAAAAAGTCTGGTGATCTAGTCTGTTTTTGTTCTCACCATGATCCAGCAAATTTTTACATCCTCTGTTTTCACTATCATTCTCTATTTCTTCAATTCTTTGAGAACACCCGCTTTTCCCTTCGCTGACAGCTTCTGTTCTTTCTTTTCGAAAGCTTTTTCTTCAGCTTCCTGAGTCAGATCTTCAGCAGACCTTGGTTTCTTGCTGATGGGGATCATTAAGAATCTCTACTGCCAGCTGCGGGTTCTTTGCATTTATTTTCATCTGCAGCTTCGGCTGCAAACTAAAAAAAAAATAATCATTTCCCAAGTTCAACACTTTTTTTCTGCCAGCTGACGCCTTGCCTCATTATTTGACTTAAGAGTATAAATGGTGTGGGTTTTTCTTGTTAGTGTGGATTTTGATATCATCGGACTTCCCTGATGTTTTGTCTTGTTACTATGGCAATCTGTCCACTCACTCGTTATTTTCAAAAATAATCCTGTCCATTTCTTTCCCTATGAATTTTCTCCTCTGATTCAAATATCAAGATCAAGCAAGTTTGGGTCACATAGGGTATTTATTCAAAACTTCAAGTCCATTATTTTCCTGAGCTTCTCTCTGAGACTTGAGATCTTATCTGATTTGCTCACTGATTTTGGTAGGTGGAAGGTGGGGGCAGGAGCAGTTAGGGACAAAGAGAGACCATGGCCTTCTATCTACTCCAGGGTTCCCTGTACCCCTCAAATCAATCTATACTGCCACCCCTTTCCCTCCTTCCAGGTCCCATCTTCCATTTCGTGCCTTCATTCATCATCCAACACGTTCACCTCTCACCATAATCTATTCTTCTACAACTTAAAACTCACAGAATATATCGGTTCACAGATTTTTTTTTTAAAGCAGATCTGCTAACAATCTTTCTACATTTTCATTGCTCTGGACTTTATCCACATTTCACTGTCTTCTCTCTCCAGATTTGGTCCTTGGTTGCTAATTGAGTGAAACATCCACAACCCAATTGTGCTTAATGCAGTGGGATAGTCTCCAAGAGACCAAAGAAGACACCTGGAGATGGGATAGGAGACATAAGGTTTATTGAGAAAGGCATACAAAGAAGATCCTGTGACGATGAGCTGGACAGGTGCTTCCCCAGAAAGTCCAGTGGCAATGGGCTGGACAGGGGCACCTCCATTTCACACAGTGCCTCGAGTATTTCACCAGAAAACAGCACCTCCACTCCCCCATGACCGTGTCCAGGGGTGGCTGTCTGGATGAGCACTTCTCTCTCCACAGTGCTCTGATCTGCACCAGTTACCATAGGCAGGGAGGTTTACAGGTTAGGTGACAGAAGCAGCATCAACGTAGCTTGCTTTGGCCCACTGTTTCTTGGTCAGCACCCCCAAGGAACTTGGTGCACATGCAAGAAAGTAGTTTTCTATAGATAGCACTAACTTGCCCTGATTCCTAGCATACACGAGAGAAAGCCGGGGTCCTGGCCCATACTCACTCTCATTATTCTCTTAATTGGCTAGGTTTTGGGGAATAGAAAGGGACATTTTAGGGACATGGTGATTCACTGTCCTTTTTTTTTTTTTTTTTAAGGAAGACACACAGATTCTGCCTAAAACAGTACCATCCTGACTCAGCAGTTGTTCACCACCAGGCAACCTGCATTGGCCCCATCCGAATTGCTGACCCACAACAGGTACCTTCTAGCTCCAGATCTCTCCAAGCCCCAGAGACCTGATGCCACAGTTCCCAACATGCCCTCCAGGTCTCCTTAGGACCATGACATCACTGCTGAATCCACCTTCTTAACTTGCTTTCACTGATTTCTAAAAGATGTTTCAGATTGACAGGTTAGAAGTATACATATTTACGGGGTATAGTATGATAATTTGACACATACGTACAGTATAGATGAAATCCTGGGATAAAATCAAGGGCACTGGGCCAAAAGAAGGTAGAAACTACCAAAATATAAGATGTGAGGAAGCAGGGTGCTGTGGTGCCCACCTGTAACTGCAGCTACTTGGGAGGTTGAGGCAGGAGGATCCTAAGTTCAAAGCCAGCCTGGGCAACTGAGTAAGACCCTAAAAATAAAGGAAAAAAGGGTTGGGGATGTAGCTCAGTGTAGAATATTTGTCTAGCATGTGTGAGATCCCCCTGAGTGCAAATCCAAGTGTAATACCACACACACACCAAAAATAAACAAACAAACAAACAAGCAAACAAACAAACAAAAAGACTTGGGGGAAGAGAATAGAAAAGATCTTGTATCAAGTTTTACCATGTGGATTGTGAGATATTTCATTCTTCAATGCCTTTTGAAGGCTTCGTTGTTTTTTTTTTTTTTTTTTTTCAGAGTCTGATTTCTTTTGGGGGAGATGCTGAAGTTCTAACTGAACTCAAGGAAGGCTTAGGTTAGGAGCAGACTCTACCCCAAATTGCCTGGTCACATTTGATTCTCATATGTCAGTGTACTGTCTCCTCTAAGCCACCTTCCCTTGCTCCATTTGAGTATGGAGTGCTGTGAGGTATGGCTAACATTTCTGGTGCCCAGTGGGTGTTGTCTCCCACTGCAAGGGCAGGGTTTTAAGATAGCAGCTTTATCATCAAATCCAAGAACCTCCTCATAGAGGAAAAATGGAGAGGAGAGAGAAAAGGAAAGAAAATCCCATTAGATAGACAACATTTAATAAGTGCCTGCTATAGGCAGATCATTATATTAGATATTTAGCAAAATCACTCCAAATGTTTAGTTCATTTGGATGCAGAGATACTGTGGTGAGAGGAAGTAGAAGTGACTCAGGAGTTAGGAGGTCCAGGTTCTCTCTCCAGGTCTGTCACTAGTTAGTGAGGTCATTCTAAACAACTCAACCTGTGGTCTTTTGATTCACTAATCTATTCAATGAAGGAATTGGATTAAAGGGACTTCAAGAAGCTTTCAGGTTCAGAAATTCCATGATTTAAATGGACTACGTTGTCTGTATTTTTAATAAAAATAATGGAAGACGTGTACCATAAGGACACTCATAAGATCCACATGGTTTCTGTGTTGTGGTAGGAGTATCTACAGAGAAATTGAGGTACTCTGTTTCCTGAGCTAGAGAGTGTTGGTATATGGGTCTATTCAGGTTTACCCACTGATGGGAAATGGTTTTATCTGTTGCTTTTTTTGTGGCTGCCTCTGTCTCTCATCTTTCACAGTGGTTGATCTATATACGCCACCTGCCCTCTATGACTTCTACAACTCTAGTCAGTTAAAAATGTGATCTCTGACTAGAACCCTTTAAATTGTTTTTCTCTTTCTCTCTCTGTCATTTTCTCTAAGTCCCATTTGACTCTTTTTCTTCAGTCATTTTTAATCTCAGAAAAAGCTTCCCTCAGCTCTCTCAGATACAAGGGATAGAAGCAAAGATGATGCATCTTCAAGGATTGGAGAGATTGGGGTTGAGCTGGTCTCAGGGATGAGCAAATTGACATTCTTCCTGTCTCTACTTGCTTATATGCAGACTCTGGATCAGTGATAATGCTGGGGGCATGAAGTTCTAGGATTTGCCTTGCTTCAGATATTGCTTTTCCCTTTTGGTCAAATGCAATATATATATATATATATATATATATATATATATATATATATATATATATATATATATATATATATATATTTAATATTTTTTAGTTGTATATGGACAGAATGTCTTTATTTATTTATTTTTATGTGGTGCTGAGGATTGAACCCAGTGCCTCACACATGCCAGACAAGTGCTCTACCACTAAGCCATAACCCCAGCCTGCAATATATATTTTTTAAAAAGCTAGGGAGGCCAATTGGGGAATGCATGGTTATGATCATTGGTAGAATAACTGAAGGTTCAACCCAGAAGTATACATATTTATGGGTTATAGTATGATAATTTGACACATACATACAATATAGATGAAATCCTGGGATAAAAGGCAATGAGCCCTTGACTCATTATGGTCTGAAAGTGTTTTCTTTCCTTAGCACATTGAAGATCTCACCCCATTGTCTTCCTCTGTAATTACCAATGAGAAATATACTACCAGTCTACTTGTTCTTCTATTGTAAGTAAATTATATTTTCCTTTTGGTTCTTTTTAAGATTTTTTTTTCTCTTTAGTGTTCTGACACTTTATCATGATATTACTAAGTGTGGATTTATCTCTATTCTGTTCAGGACTCAAGTTTCTTCAGTTTGAAGATTTATGCCTTTCTTCAGGGATATGAAAAAAATTTATGTTGCACAACCATCAAAATAGCAAAAATAAAAAAAAAATATATTATCAAGTGTTGGCAAGGATGTGAGGAAAATTCTCATAAGCTACTGATGAGAAATTATATATTATTACACCACCTGGGGGCTCAATCTGGGGCTACTAACTATTGTAATCAAACAACTATGATTTTAGGACTCCATCCTAGAGAAAACTTACACTTTTAGGAAAATGATATGTATATAAATCTATTCAATGAATCATTGTTTGCGATTTAAAAAAAAAAAAGAAAGAAATGTCCACCAACAGAGAATGAGTGAATCAATCAGCAGCTAAAAATCAGTGAATCAGACATACCCACACGAGGTAGATAAATTTGGAAAACAAAATGAGGAGTTTTAAAAAGCAAACAGTAAATGATAAATGCAACATGACACACTTTGTATACATTTTAACAACCCACAATACTGTATTGCATATTGCCCACTAATCAGAAGCCATATGATCTCATACTTTCCTTATAATGCAATAAAATAAGATTGACAACAAAATAAGAGGATATCAAAAAAATCATCATCTAGGAAATCAAAAAGAAGATTAGAAATAATTCCTGATTTGAAGAAATAACTGAAACTAAACACTGCGTGGTTAACAGAATTAGCCAGATGGAGGGAGAAGTGGGTGACTGATGAAAAAATCTGAGGTGTCTCCCAAGGTTATAAATCTTAGGAAACAAAAATGTCTGTCTTGAATCAATATTGTATCTGGGTTTGTGACTGTGATGTGTGATGACTTCTGACATGGGGAAAGAAAAGGAAAGAACTGGAATACAGCTCTCCCCTCCACCCAAACCTTCTCATTGTAATAGGTAGGAAACAGTAGAAGATAATAGAATGTTGCAGAGTGAGGAGGGATGTAAAATGGACAGTATTAGGGTGGAAGGAAACTCAGAGGATCGGAGAGAGAAGAGCATTAGGAGCAGTCTTGTGCTGGGAGCTGGTGTGGCCAAGCACAGGCGGATGCCTGAAGCTTCAAAAGGTCACAGCTCTGTGTCCTTGAATGAGCACAGCCAGACCTGGCCAAGCATAAGAAGCGAGAGTAAGTAGGAGGGCCATGTCAGCGGAAGTCTTGTTCAAGGCATGGGGTGGGGTAAGAGGAAAGTGCTAGAGGAGGGAGGAAGAGTAGTGGATTCAGATGAGATAAGGGGGTCAAAGTCATGGCTCAAGTACTGTTTGGAGGCAGCTGGAGGTTGAGGCCAGAGTGCCCTGATTTCCTCACTCTGGAAGTGCCAATAAAAAGACAGGGGAATTTAACTGTACAGAACCTTCAGGTAGAAATGTTCTTCTTGCCTAAACTCAGGTGCTAAATCAACAATAAATAGTTTACCTCTACTAGAACAATTTCCAGTGGTGTTATACCTGAGGCTAGTACATTCCTGAGAATAAATAACATGATTTATTTAGAGTGGACAGAGTGGAGGCAGGGAGGAAACACACGGCAGACCCCTGGTGAGTGAAACAGATTCCTGGTCCAGTCCCACCCGGATGCAGTAAGGAAGCCTAATATCCCTGTTGCCTGTTTGGATTTTGATAAAGCTAGACCATATATCCAGAGCTTGCTGGGCTTTGTCCTCCTCATCATCCAGAAAACACACAATGACCACGGAATGAACCAGGAAGGGAGAGAATAGTGTGTATTAACTCATGCAAAAAGTTGGATATTCTCCCAGTATTGTTAATAACCAGAAATTACTAAATTCTCTGTTTGTCTGTTGTGGAAATAAAACCTTCTGGGGATGGATCAAACATATCTGGAAATTACTTGAAACTGGTGGATAGCTAAATGTAACGTGCCTTGGATATCATAAGGAAAATGTGCTGTCATCCAATTACAATTTTTGTTTTTTAAAGATTGGTCCTGGGAAACTCAACCGGGTAAATACTGTAGAAATCACATGAAGCTTCAAATGCTATTTTATGTGAACTCCTTGAGTGGGAATTCACAACTTTAATGTCTGGCATATGACTGATATTTCTAGATGTTTAACTGATTTTATGTTCTGACAGTTTGAATGGTTGTGGGAAAACTGAGGTGTGTTGTCCTGGTACATGTTCAACAATGGGGTTTCTAGGTAGAAAGTCCTGATTTATAGTGCTTGCTATTTTCTTTTTTTAATTTTTATTTTAAAAAAATTTAAATTTTTTAACTACACAACAGCGGTGGAAAGCATTACAATTCTTATTGCACATATAGGAGTGCTTGCTATTTTCCCTGGTGTAAATATTTCCATGGTGCTGATTTTGAACTATGAACATGAAGTCCCTGAATGCAGACCTGGGAAGACAAGTTCACAGTTGATTCTCATGAATCAGCATAGACTGGTATAAAGGAACCACAGTATCTACCCAAGGGCCTCTGTGAAAGCAGAGTTTACCACTGTAAATTGTGATCCATAAATATACAAAGGCAGTGCTAAAACAAAAATTTATAAAATATACATTTTCAAATTGGGGAGCTCAAATGGAGAAAATTGACAGAGGATTTTTTTTAAAAAAAATTGAGAATTTGATTATTATTATTATTTTTAAGCAAGCAGGATATCTATGCATCATATCAAGTGTTCTGAACTCTTAGTTTCTTTGGGGTTCCCAAGATGGAGGCTGGGACTCTTTTCCTTTGATATTGGTGCTAAAGTGATGTTGACCAAAGAATCGATGGGACCTGCACATTGTGAAGCCAGCTTCAGGATGGCTGAGCTGAGGGTCAAGAAAGAAGAAACGATGTGGAGTCTCCTGAATTTGGGGAGAGGCAGCACTGAAATTTAGACCCATGATTTGGTATGACAATATATAACTTTTTATGGTTGTTAACATTAATGAAAAGGAGAAAAATAAGTTGTCCAAGAGTTGAAAAAAACAGATTAATAAACTTTCTAATTAGAATAAGGTGAAAGAACTTATTAAACTAAAGGTGAATTGGAAATGTCAATAGGACTCCATGGATGTTTCTTAAAGGGATGTTTTATGCTTACAATGATTTGTGCCGTTGGGTATTTTGCTGTCATCCTGCCAGTTGGAATGTGGAACAAGCTATTTGTAGCCCTAGTGCCTGTGGCTTCTAAAGTGATTCTCTGATAAAACGAACCAGCGTCCCTTGGGAGGACAGCTGATTCCACATCTCAGGACAAGGAAAAGAATCAGAATTAGTTTGTGAATTCTAGACGGAAGGAAGCAGGGCTGCATTAGGGCATTGGAGAATTGCAAGTTCATAATGATGCAAAAAAGATGATACAATGGAATTGTTTGAAACCCGAATTTCTGAAATCATTTTACTGAAAAGGATACATAATGATAGCTCAGATTATGTGAGGTCTATGCTTACATTTTTATAAGTGACTGCTTGAAAATGCAGGATGGTTTTCTTCCTATAAGGAGACAAACCCGTAGCCTAACATGGTCAGAAGAGGGTATCACAGGACATTGTCACAGTTCAAAAGATCTTTGTGAAGTGTGGTTTATTTGATAGAAAAGGGTACAAGCAGATTGAAGAGAATCGGGATTTGAGGCAATGCCAAGAATGACCTGGAAGGGTTGTTTCTCTTGTCTCACCAACAGTAAATGACCATCCTTCCTGAGTACTCTCAGTAGCATTTGCCTCCCGCCCTCTGAAACCAGGGTGAATTTTATCAACCACCAGCATAGGTGCACCATTGTAAGCTATGGTCACCTCTCCAACAATGACTTACTCTGTGCAGGGACTCAGCATCCTCATTCTGTACTATTTTTATTACCAAATGTCTCTGTGCTTCAGATGACAAATCAGAACCAGCTTTTCTACCATTGTGGGGCTCACTGTGCCTCTCTACAAGGAGAGGAAATCTAGACATCAGAAAATATTAATGAACAACGATGAGCAGAAAACATGGAGTGAATCACATCCAATGGGGAAAAAAACAGTATGTTGGCAAAAGAAAAGCATCAGAGCTACTTCTAAAAGTAAAAGGGAAAATAGGCCATAAAATATTAATTTTAACTGAGTTTCTCCTAAAGAGATTTTTTTTTTTTTTTAAAGTAAGAAAGCACAGGCAACAAGTGAAGAAATGTAAAATGAGGAGGAGGAAGTTTGCCCATGAACACACATGGAAAAAAAATGCTTGCACTGTGAGCAACCCAAAGCACAAAAATCAAATGGAAAAACAGGTTGATATAAAGAAAAATTATGTCTTTAAGAACTAAATGTGTGATCAGATGAGAAAATGTTCAGCTTATCACTCACTGGTGCCTATAAAAATATCTGGTTGTTTGCAAATCCGTATCACGGATTCTCAGTATGGTTTACATAAAATTGGAAAAAGCCCAACTAATGAGAGGTTTATCATCAAAAAGGATGTCACAGTGTCGAACACAGTGAAACTAGGAGGCAAAGCCACTTTCTTCAAAGGAGAAGGCAGTGGCGGCCACACGTGGGCAGGGCAGTGGGCAGCACTGTGGGCCTATCCCGGGTATGATGTGGTAGAGGTCTGTGGGGATGTGAGTGGGATCACAGGAGGAACCCAGAAGGAGGGATTGGTGCTTCATTAATACATGGATCCTGGAGAGACGTTTGGCAGGTCTGAGCACAAGGAATCAGTGTCCATTACTTGGAACTGGTAGGTTTGCTGGCTCAGTCTCTGTTGCTCTCCTGTGACATCATGAGCTGATGATGTCATCACTAGTTGCCCTGAGGCTTACAAGTTGAACTGGATGTGAGTGATAGAGACAGCCCAGGGCTCCACCCAAATCGTCCTTGTTCCTGCATCTGTGAAGAAAAGATGGGACCCCGGGAGAGAGGAAGCTGTCAACACAGGAGCATCCCTCCTCTCCTGGCTCTTTGAATCACTGAAACCTAATTTGGGGGTTTTGGGGGAGATCCTACCCTGGACCCTGTTGAATACCTATTACAGAGATGTAAATTAAAAAAACCAGAATGCTCTATGTCTAGATCTTAAATGAGTCGGAGAAACAGAGGCCTTGGAGGCTTCTTGCTTTACTAGACGGTGAATGTCATCCCGAGAACAATAGAAAGCAGACTTCCTGGGGAAGGCTGGCTGGTCAGACCCATATCCCCTCAAAAAAACTTAAGGGATATTTTGTGAAGTTCAAATACCTCCTGTTACAGTTGGAACCTGAAGTCATATCTAAATGCTATGCAATTTCTATAGTCACAGGCTGGAGGGCCCATAATCAAAATTACATTCTGCATATAGTTCACTCATACCAGTGACTCATTCTTCTACCCCCCACCCATTGCTTTCTCATTCAGACTTG